AAAAAAAAAAAAAAACCCTAAAATTAAATGAAGAGTTCAGGCTAGGAGAACAGAACCAGTTCTTGTCCCAGCTCTGCTGTGGATGGTTCAGTCTGGGCCTGGGTTCGCCGGTCCACAGGAGAGGGCTGGGGTGGGTGCCGTTACGGGGAGTGAGCCCTTCTGATTAGTTGTTTCCCAAGACTGCAGAGAAGACAGCGAGACAGCAGCTCTCTTGATGATGAAGATACCAAAAACCAAAAAAAGTTACCATTTAAAGACATGGCCTGTTGGCTACATGCTGCTAAATGCTGTTGTGCGATTCTATCATTTCACCTCCATTTTCCAGATGAGGAACTGGGGGCCCAGGGAACCCAAATGGCTTGCTCAGGGTCACACAGCTGGTGAGCTGCAGTGTGGGAAAGGGCCCGCTCTCCAGCACGGCAGCACCTTGTCTGGGCGGATTGGGCCATCCGGGGGGGCCTTGCTCACACTCTCTCCCGCTGGGGGCCAGGTTCAAGGGCAGCAGGAAAGACGAGATCCTGGGCATCGCCAACAACCGACTGATCCGAATTGACTTGGCCGTGGGTGATGTGGTCAAGACCTGGCGCTTCAGCAACATGCGCCAGTGGAACGTCAACTGGGACATCCGACAGGTAGGCCCAGACCGGGGGCAGGGATGGGGGCAGGTGCCAGGCCAGAGCCGGATCCAGCCAGGGCGGGGCAGGGTGCTCCCTTAGCCCACCCCCCATTCGCCCCTCTATCTGTCCCCTCTTCAGGTGGCCATCGAGTTTGATGAGCACATCAACGTGGCCTTTAGCTGTGTGTCTGCCAGCTGCCGGATTGTGCATGAATACATCGGGGGCTACATTTTCCTGTCGACCCGGGAGCGGGCCCGGGGGGAGGAGCTGGATGAAGACCTCTTCCTGCAGCTCACAGGAGGCCATGAGGCCTTCTAAGGGCCATCTGACTGCCCCTACCCTGCTCACCACCTGTCACAGCCACTCCCAAGCCCACACCCACTGGGACTCACTGCTCCACACCTGCCCCAGGCAGGCACCCAACTGGGCATGTTCACCTGCTGTCACTGGCTTTGTGCAGGCCAGCGACCTGGCTGGGCCAGACACTGCCATCACCCAGGCTAGGGATGGGGGTGGGCGTCCCCGAGCTCATGCAGTGCCCCCTTTCCTTGTCCGAGTGGCTGACGCTGATACCCCTGACCTATCTGCAGTCCCCCAGCACACAAGGAAGACCAGATGTAGCTACGGGATGATGAAGCATGGTTTTGAACTGGAGTTTCTTTCTTGTTACTTTTTAAATTTTCTTTTTTATAAATTAATATTTTATTGTTGGATCCTCCTCCTTCCTCTGGAGATGTGCTTGGGGGCACTCTGACACTCTGTCTCTTCATCACCAGCCAAGGAAAGGGGCTTTCCTGATAGACAAATTGGTTAGAGAAAGGGAGATCTAAGTCAGCCTGGGGTTGGAGGCTAGGAGATAGGTGAGGGCAGAAGGGCACAGGCTTCAGGCACAAGGAATAGGGGCTGGGGCGGTGGCTCTCACGGGTAGGGCGTAGCTGGAGGGCCTCCTTGAAGTACTTGGGAAGCAGGAGGCCATCAGTATTCCCTGGAGTCAGAATCACTCCATTGGCAGAGCGGAAGAAGTGTATTCCATCTGCCAACAGAGCCAAAGATGTGACTCATGCCCTCCGGAAGGCCAGGGCAGCCCCTGCTTTGTCCAGACTCACCTGCCAGGGCCAGGGGTCCATCGATGAACACAGCTATTTCACAGTGTGGCCGCATGCCTGCAGAGACAGCAGGAGCTGGGGCCTGGGCACCCGGGGCGCAGTCAGCAACCTGGGCAGACTGGGGTCCTGGGCTGGGGGATGCGGGGGTGCTGCTCCATGTTGGGCATGGGGTGGCCTCAGATGAGGGTTGTAACCTTTGGAGGGGACCTGGGAGTACAGAGTGGGTGGGAGTAGCTAAGTGGAGGGGAGGGCACTGACCACTGATGACACCGGGGTCTCCAGGCAGTCCTGGGGCCAGGTGGATATGCGTCCTTCCCCGGCAGGACAGGCCCTTAAGTAGGATGGATGGCCAGTGCTTCCAGAATGTACCATGGACTAGCACCTGGGGCAGGGCCTGTGGTGTCTCCAGGGGCATCAGCTCCAACTCAGGTACCTGGTTGAATGGGCAGCAGTGAGACCACCTTGGCAGGCAGGGGTCCCTCCCATCTGGCTCTCCCGCTTGTCAACCCTTACCCTGACCTGCAGGGAGTGGCCCTGGTTGGCCCGGATGAGAGGGCCAGTGCTGGGATCCCCTGGCTGCAGGGCGAACCGCTGCTTCCCATTGGTGTCCACCACGCGCTGCACATCTTCAGCAGAGAAGAGGCGGAACTGGGGCAACTGCAGGAGGGCGCCCAGGGGCACGAAGCCATCTGCAGGCAAGCAGGGTGCTCAGGAGCCAGCCTTGCTCTGGACTGCACCAGGGTTAACGGGGAGCCACAGGTAACCCAAAAATGTCTGGACTTGGGAATCGCATGGGCATCCTCTGTGGGACCTTTGGAAAGTCTCCCCTTTCTGACCGGCGCGGTGGCTCACGCCTGTAATCCCAGCACTTTGGGAGGCCGAGGCAGGTGGATCATGAGGTCAAGAGTTCGAGACCAAAACAAGCAAACAGAAAAACAGAAAAAAAAAGAAATAAAAAAATAAAAATAAATTTAAAAAAAAGTTCAAGACCAGCCTGGCCAACATGGAGAAACCCCATCTCTACTAAAAATAAAAAAATTAGCTGGGCGTGGTAAGCAGCAGTCCCAGCTGCTTGGGAGGCTGAGGCAGGAGAATCTTTTGAACCTGGGAGGTGGAGGTCGCAGTGAGCCGAGATGAGGCCACTGCACTCCAGTCTGGACAACAGAGCAAGTCTCCGTCTCAAAAAAAAAAAAAAAA